CAGCGCGGGGCCGGGATTGGAACCCATCTAGAGGAAATAAAAACGACGGGGAAAGTGGGGGGGGTGGGGGGAGGAAAGGGGCGCCATTCGTCGGCCTGAAAGAACCAACAAAGTCCTTATTCCCGGGCGAAGCTGTGTCTAACACCTTATTCAGAGTTCTATGGTTATTCGGACCCAAATTCGTGTCCGCATTATGCTCCATTGAGAACCAAAAACCAAACACACGTGAATCAAAAAAAAAAAAAGGATTATAACAAAGGGCCAACACGCTGCCCTACACGACTGTTTATATAACAGGAACTTTTGTGACTCGTGGCTAGTTGAAGTGGAACGTGGCTACGTTAATAGATCTCAAAAAAACTAGGGGGGAAATCTTCAAAAATGCCAAATTGATTGTTCGTTGTTCGTACTTGCCTAGATGTATCTTGTCTACAAAACGGTTGGAGGGGACCTCAAGTTGTTAATATTTGTATAAACTTGATCCCTCCTTTAGTATATGTGCTTTTACGTGTAAGTATTTAGTGATAGAAGACTTGGTCTCACTTCGTTGTGTTCGACCCTACCACGCCAGAAAGAAGCTACACTGTCTAAAACTTGGAGGCAAAATCACGTGGCTTCTATTGCCCTATGCGTTGTGCGTCACTGCGCTCCAGTTTATCGAACTCTCTATGTGCTAAACACGAAGGTAAACCTTAAAAAGACCTCGTTCTATGGAACTAGACAAGGCCACACCCGTGGAACATGAAGAAATCCGGAGAGATTACACGAAGTAAATGAAAGAAAGGGAAAGGATACGATAAAAAGCTATGAAACTCAGCAGCGATCCCACCAAAACAAGGCAAAGCAAATTCTATTAAAGAAAAGAACAAACTGTATAGTACTCAAAAGATAAATTACTCTCAGAAAAAAAAACGGTAAGACACACAGTTGATGCCGTGTTAATTCCTCACTTGTCCTAAGTAACGGAGACAGGATACTACCACTAGAACTTCCTATACCCAAGTGTAGAACACAAAGGGAAAAGAGGAGGCTTCTCTAAACTCGCTGGATCACTTGAAAGAGACACTAATATTACACCTAGAATGGGAATAGGAGTGGGAATAGCTTCGAAGTGAATACCGAAAAGGAAGTCAACCAAACCGACCAGAAACTCCACACGTTATCTACGCCGACGACGGTGAACGTTTGGTTTCGTAACTAGTTTGTGAAGCAAAACGCCCTATAAGAAGAGGGGCCAAATAAATGGTCTATCGAGCACCCCCCCCCCCCCCCCCCCCTGTCCCCTCTGCCCAGTTATGTCCTTTGAGTGTCTTCTCTCCACCCTCCCACACTCACGCGCTGATAATAGCTACCTTACATCGACTCGGGCTCATCCTCGTAACATTTTCATGCGCCCCGGATTTCGGAAAAAGAGCCTCGACGACGCCTGCCCGCTAACGATCCTGGAGGTCGCCGCCTATCTAGGGCTTCTTATCGCCGCCCGGGGCCGCCGTCGCGGGGTTGCCCGCATCGGGCGACGACGGGGTGTCTTTCATAGGGGGGCACCCGGTGGGCAGCCCCGGGGTCGGCCCCGTTGGGGGGCCTAGCGTCTCCCCAAAGAGCTCCCGATGCCGCTCCATCGCTTCCTGGAAGGACTTTTCGTGGGCGGCCTCCGCGGCCTCGGCGGCGGCGCGCGCCTCCCGCGCGTCCTGCTCGGCGTAGATCGTGTAGCTCGGCGGCTTCGGGGTCTGCTCGTAATGGCTCGCCGGGTGCGCGGGGGGCCGGCCCTCGTGGTCTTCGAATTGGAATCCGTCGTTGAAGGTGACCTGGTAGGCCTCGCCGCCCGCCGCGTCGGGGTTGGAGGTCCACATATGCCGCCACTCCGCCCGCGGGCCATCCCGCGGCTCCACGAACTCGCCCGCCTGCACGAGGTCGTAGTCGGGGTCCTCGCTCGGGTCCGTTTCCTTCCCGTGCTTGATTTGCTCGCGGAAGCGCGCCTTCGCGCGCTCGACCGCGCCGAGGAAGTCTTGCGGGCGGATCTTCCCCGGGTACGACCACGGCTCCTGCACGACCTCCGTCCGCTTCACCATCTCCCACTCGCGATCCTCCTCCTCCATGATGCGGCGGAGGACCTCCTCCTCCTCCTCGCTGCAGCGGAGGAGGTGGCCTTGCTTGAAGCCGTAGCCCTCCGCCCGGCCGTGGTGATCCTGGCTGCTCGCGTGGAGGTGCGCGAAGGGGTAGCGCGGGTAGCACTCCCACTTCCCGGTCGGACCCCAGAAGTCGTAGTTGTATTTATAACGAAAGGTCCGGTTGCCGTGGTTGTCGACGGTTTCATCCCAATCCAGGCGAAGCTGCGGGGGCCGCGGGAACATCTCGAAAGGGTCGTCCGGGTTCTTCGGCTTCCAATCCTTGATGCGGAAGAGCTCATCCGCCTCCATATACCAATGCCCGACAACGTCGCTCGAGACGTTCGCCATATGCCATCGAAAAGGCGACGTGTTCTTCGTGTTGTAAAGCAACGGATCGCAGTAGCTGCCGGGAACCATGCCGTACGCCGAGAGCGGCGCGAAGCAGACCTGTTCGAGGCGCTGTTGATGCAAATAGCCTTCCGAATTCGGCGAGGTCACCTCCTCATCCCAGACAAACATCACCCAGGCGCGATGGCGGATCTGCCGCCACAACCGCAGCAGGCGGCCGGGCTTGACGTTTTTGAAGGTCGTCGGCGGCGCGTTCGGGTCGTCCTCCTCCGCGGCCCACACCCGAAGGACGGGCGAGGCGCGGAAAAGCGTTTTCGAATTGAATCGAAACATAATACCGCGCAATAAGCAATCCTTTTCGTTTGCGTATTCGCTATCTCTTTGTCGTGGATTCGCGTGGGATACTATATCTGCCTATCGCCCAACAAATCTATTAAAAATATAGGTATCTTCAGGACCGTGCTGCCGCAAAACGAAAAGCGACCCAATTCTCAACTCCTCTTGGAAACCAAACAAGCAAGGAAAAAAAACACTTAAACAAAAGATATGATAATAATAATGCTATTACTCCTACTAGTGTGATGAATTCACTAAACAACCTATCTCACGAATATTATCGATGCGCGAGTTGAGAAAGCGATCGACAATACCCTAACTATCCGCTACGGTACCTACTTGTGGTCTATTTTCCACTCCCCCTCCAATATCGATCTTTCAGACAATGTCTGTTTAGACAATCAAAATCGATCTACAGAAATACAAAAAGGAAAACGGGAGATCCACAGATAGGGGTATGGTGAGACATCCGAAATCGCACAAAGAAGCAACATCCAATGGATTACAATAGGCTTAGATGAACTAAAAGAGAAGTATCGCACAGCTTGGATTCGATGTTTAAGTCGATGTACAAAATTATGATTTAGGAGGATCAAAACACAACCAGATTAATAAAGCAGCACCCTCGTGGAGCTCGTCGCTAGGGATTCTCGAGGTCCGCTCGCCTCATTCCCGCATGGATGCGTACACACCACCCAAAAACATTCCATCCCCCCACACCCCATTATCCCCTCCTTCATCGTGCCAGCACACGGCAAAAAAGGAGAGGAAGCATTGTAGTCTAACGTAGGGAACGTAATACAAGAAACAACCACCACCACCAAATAAAACAAAACAAAACAAAACCAAAAAAAAGGCAAGCAAGGGGAGGGCATGAGGCAAAACGGCGCCACCCCACTATTTCTTCTTTTCAAAAATAGAAAACAAGGTCGGGGTGCCTTTTGGCCGCCCCGCCTTCTCCAGTCG